GACCGAGGAATATAGTGCACTTCCATATAACCTTTGTCTTGACTTATTCAGATGTCTCAAGGTACTAGTAATATTAAAAAGTAATTTTTTAACTTGGTTTATTGGTGCAATTGCAGCAGTTATTACCAAATCTTTATAACATTTAATGCATACTATGTGTGTGCATGCCTTACCTGTCGTTTTACATGGTTCCGTAAAGCCCATGGGATTTATTCACCAATCAAAAGCGATATCTTGCGACTTAGGCAAATATGCCAGCTAATGAACATAATTTATGTCATTGATTTATTGGTCCAATTACAGCAGCTATTAGCGAAATTCTAGAACATTAAATGCATACTATGATATAAAACAATGGTTTTGTGGTAAACAGCATTTCCTCTTTTTTAACAACTTCGTTGTATAAGAATAACGACACTATCATCCGGTAGGTCGACCCCACAAAGTAAAGTATACATGCAGAGTAATTGGTTTCATTGGTTTTCACGGTCGAAATCAAGATTTATTCATCCAACGTACCTATTTTTGGGCACAATACCTCGGCCGCTCAGGCGGCCGAGATAAAAAGCAGTTATTTCGTTGAAAACCACATCAGATACTTACTGTCCAAACATCTATGTCCCAGTAAAAAATCAAGACCATTGCATGTCCACAGCACGAGATATCATACCATGTACCCCGCTGCATTTTACAAAATTGCTACCAAAATTGACCTTGACCTTCCTTTTTCCCAACCTCATCCTACCTGCCAAATATCACAAAGATACATGCACCACACCCCAAATTATAACTGAAAAAATCAGCAACCCCTATGTATGGTGTACCTAAACACATAACCTTCTGATGAAGGTAACATGAAAGGCAATAAAAACTATTGCGATGATTGAATGTTTGTTGTAAATGGCCAGGGTAGGTCCTGACAATCAAACTTCCCAAACCAAAACTGTGAAAATGTGCTTTCTGTATGAATGTCTCAACTGCAGAACAACACAGTTGACAAGTTTCATTATTATTTTATTTTATCAATTGTTTGAATTGTAAGGAACTATGCTCTCTACTGATAACAAAAGAATAGTCTACGCCAAAAAGCAGTTTACTGAAGCAACTGGATACAATTTCGGAAACTGACTGTTTCAGTTGCTTGAGTATCGTATTACCTGGATGTCTAACCTCCATTGACGTAAAAGAATAGTCTCTTTTAAACCTTAATGTGGATGTAAATAAGACAAACTTTCCTGTCTGGAACTTATGGACTTCTAATTTCTTGTGATCCATTGGTCAATATATACATATGAAGTGTTAGGTCAGCCTCTAGCCCTCTGAACACTGCAAAGTAGGCTTGGTGGATTTTGGGAGAAGAATGCAATATCCCATTATGACATTAACGAAGGAAATAGATTTAAATGGTGCAATAGACATAAGAATTATTTACAAATAACAAATAATACTTACAGTCCATGCCCTCTGGTGACCATTGGTCAATGCAGACAAGTAGAGCCCGTCTCCTTCCTGTTGCATGCTCAAACAGCCGGAGGTATCTGTCGGTCTTTGTGTACCTTGCAAGGCTATGAAGTAAAACAAGTACTTTTGTCAGCTAGAATTTCTTCCAAGTCATCAAACTAGCGTAGTGGTAGGTACATTTTTGGTGAAACATAGTAAATGTAGTGGGAAAGAAAGAAATTTGCATGACTTTGAATAAGATTGAGTCGTTTTCTAGTTACAGCCAATGTTTAGGTTAATAACATTTCCCTGGTCAAACCATATACATATTGTGGGTTTCTAGCTCTATCAGGGAGTGATTACATCTACATCACAAATTTTTAATTCTTAGGGAGCTTAGGGACTGCTGGGGTGGTCCTCAAAGGGGGCCAACTAGAAACATTCCTGTCTAGGAGGAGTGCCATGAAGAAAAAAATAAGCCATGGAGCCTCATGGCCATGTACATCTACAATGTATATAGGGTGTGGGAGGGGTGAAATACTTTGCCCTTGAGAAGTTCTAACCTGGTCTTCTGATCACTATCCCTTCGTTCTGACAAGGCCTTGGTTTTGAGGGGAAAATGTTGTGTCTCCTGCTTCCCTGCCAACCCTTTTTGTAAGTGGACCCCTACAAGGGGTTCCATAATCTGACATCTGAGTAATGTAATGCTGTACAATTGGTTTTCCAACATTCACATTGAAAATATCCTCTTGCAATTTTGACTTTGTTTGCAAGTTGGTTCTCTGTAAATTGCCTAACTATAACATAAAAAAAAAGAAAGAAAGAAAATGTGAAACAGACCTTGTTTGTTCTGTCTCTGCAGTCAGACCAACTGTGGCCACCAGTGGTCTATCCTGTCGTGTGCTGATGTCCTCCGCCTGCAAAAAAGGGGCATCAATGCAATTTTTTTTCAACTTACCAAACTTTCATCTGCTTTCACAAAGAACATTCATTGTTCCATATAGAGAATAATTTGAATTAATAAATCTGAGGGTAAAAAGTCTGACTGCATAATTCACTTCAGTTTGTAGCACTTAAGTACAAATTACAGAGGATAAGTCTGAGAACAAAGAAAAGATTTGGTACTGCCACTATAGTAGGGATACTGCACATTTCTAAAGATGATGTACAATTGCCAGCACCTTTGCTTTCACAACACACAGCCAATTATTACATAGTGTATCGTGATTGTTATTTGCAGCCTCTTTACTGTTAGGTCTAATCAACATTACAAGAATAGATCTACCTGTTTACTAAATACATATATGTATTACCGCCATTGGTGAGAGTGGCAAGGGCCATGGTCTCATCAAACCAGCCTGCGCACAGCACCTGATGGCTGTAACATGGGGGCCTGTCCAGCCTAAGAGTTCAATCAAAGATAATATGTATGTCAATAGATTATCTCAGAACACGCATCAATTGTGAGTCTGTACTATACAGTCCATTTTACACTGTTAGAACTTCCCGACCACTTTACTCCTGACTACCAGTATCATCATCATCTTCAACATCATCATCTTATGTTAGGAAAAATGCATTCTAGTTCACCATATTATGAATTATGATACCCACTAGTCACAAGTGGATCAGTGTTTTGGCAGACTTCCAAAGTTGAATTCAATGTGCCTGACAAGTTGACAAGTTAGGTCACAAAACAGAATTTTTGGCCTTCGACAAAGTAAAGAATTCTTGTTATGTGCATCCTTTCAACAATATTAGAGGCCTTGGCCTGCCATCAGCCTACCATTTATGCCGAAAATATTCATGCTGGACTGAAGTTTCTATATCCATGTATACATGATTAAAATGTATTGTTTCATGTTGTGTATGAATGAATGAATGAATGAATGAATGACATAAATGAATGAATGAATGTGTAATTCTCTCAGGTGGAATTTTTCAAAAAGTCTGCTGACTGTGTACTCATTGATTTAAAGGAAAATGGCACCCGAGTTTATGCTCATTGGAGTATCAGAGTATTATATCAGAAATCTAAATTGAAAATTGTTATACATGTAGTTTCAATGTCCACGGTTAGAATTAACTTTTACCACACCTTCCAACATCTCCTTCATTTCCTCACCCCTCATTTCTTCAACAGAGCCTGGGTCCTCTGCAGCTGTTAAAAACAGTGAGTGATAAATCAGATAAATACAATATTGTAAGAAATGCCTATCTGCCTCTGGTTGTGTCAGTAACAGGTCATTCAGAGGAGATAGACTTATGTCTGAGTTGAACCTTAGCATAAGGCTAAGCAGATATCCTTGTTATTGACTTACCCATGAATAAAGTACAAAAAAGACCATAACATGCATATATGTCACCCTTTGCGTGCATAGGAATAGTCATTACCTGTCTTTATTCATGAATCATGTGCAACCTACATGTATATGTAACTACTCTTTTTTCATCTGCTTTAGGACACATTAGTTTTATTTGTTTGTTTATGTTTTTATTAAGTGTTCTTTTTTCAACTATGTACCATGTCCTACCTTGCTGAAAAATGGCCTCTTCCACTTCAACAGCCTCCAACTGGCAAGGGGCTGCCGGGCAAATGACAGCAGTGTTTAATATCTTACTAGTACATGTAGTACATGTACCTCATTCTGTATACTACATTTCTATAGTTTCATCGATTACGATGGTTTAATCTGTATAGGTTTAATGTAGCATCGGGAAAGACATCGTTTGCAATAGGCAAAATTCTGCAAAGTTGACCAAATACCAAAGCAAACCATGAAACATCCGGGTCTGTTGTATGCGCAATCCGGCCTGCCAATGTGCTTACACCGATTGTTATTATCACTGTAGCAGCAGGAGCAGCGGCAGCATGCACGTGACGTGCCGAGCTGCTGCAGTCGGTGTCCTCGGTCTCCTGTGCGTCGTCACGGCTGTCTTCACCTGCCCGGAGAAATGTCGTTGTGCTGGCGGGCGGACTAAATGTGGCGCAATGGGGTTTAAAGATGTTCCCTCCAACATACCATTGGAGACAACTAATCTTTACCTGGCCTCAAACAGCATCCAGAACCTGACTGAGGCGGCTTTCTCCAGACTCACCAGCCTGAAGGAGCTTGATCTGCAAAACAACGACATCCGCGTTCTCCCTGACGGAGTCTTCTCACATCTCACCAGCCTGGAGTGGCTTTATCTGCAGAACAACAACATCCGCGTTCTCTCTGGCGGAGTCTTCTCACATCTCACCAGCCTGGAGGGGCTTTTCCTGCAGAACAACAACATCAGCGTTCTCTCTGACGGAGTCTTCTCAAACCTCATTCGTCTGTATTCTCTGGATCTATCTTATAATCGGATAGCTGATTTCTCGAAAGGAGTATTTTCGCAGCTTAGAAACATAAGACAATTGTATCTTAGCAACAACAATTTACAGACTCTAACTAACGAGGTATTTTCAACTCAAACGACCCTTCAAACTCTGGACCTGTCTAACAATCACATAGAGATTCTTCCAGGCGGAGTTTTTTCCCATTTTTCCCAGTTAAATCTGTTCGATAACAGCATACAGGAATTGCCTAAAGACATCACAAATCTTCCACTAGCGGCCCTTGCTATAGGTGGAAACCCCTGGATGTGTGACTGTAGATTACGGGGTCAAATGGATTCGGCACGTCTGCGTAATGCAATTCAGGGGAACCCTACCTGCAGTTCCCCTCCTCACATGGAAGGTGTCGCACTGGCACACGTCGGCACATTCCCGGTTTGTCACGGCCACGGGGACTGCACTCCGGGAGAGGATACCTGTGATTGCAACGTCGGGTGGACTGGTCCATACTGTGACAAGGGTAAGATGTCTGTTTGTATCCCAGAAGCTTAAAAGTGAATGTACGAACTTGATGATAACTATTAATGTGTGTTTAGGGACGTAAGGAACTGTGAGTATAAATACGAGGTATATGATATTTACCTCCAAGAAAACGGAGGTATTGTTTTTGTGTGTGTCTGCGTCTGCATTTGTGATCAAAATAACATGAGGTCTTGATGGATTGTGTCATTGTGATGATATTTCAGCGCGATCGGCTCAGGTCTGAGGTATATCTTGTTTGTCCGTCGTGGTCGATGATGACCAATGTCCTCGGTCTGAGGCATACGACTTAGCTGAATCCGACGTAAGCAAATATGTTACAATACTGTAATATTCATTTGTAAAAAAAGTGTCCTACATTTGAAAATCATCATATTTTTCACCACTTATGAGTGGAAATAGGGACTCCTCATTGGCCAACGTCTTCTGGCTATCATAACAAATAATAATGAATGGGAATCAATATTTGACAGAAACTATACCTGCCACTGCAGCTTTACCAATAAATCATAGATAAGTGTCACATCATGGACGTCGGACGCACATATACCTAGAGTAAATTTGGTGTTTTGTAGTAAATGTTTAAGTCTTTTGCAGTAAGTAAAATATTTTTGGCATATATTATGTAAGTATAATGCAAGCTTACATTTGGTTAGACTGACTGAAGACTACTAGAGGTGGAAGTCTTTTGCTGACTTACATGCTAACCCCACGTCCTCGTGAGCTACGGGACTGAGTGATTGAGTGAGATGCAGAGCTACTCTCTCGAAACTCCTTATTATGCGCAAAAATATCTTAATTAACAATAATTAACAATAATTAATTGTTCCTATCCATCCAAAAATAATTACTTACGGTCACTGCTTGCTTTCAGACTATAACGTGGCACTTGGAAAGATAGCTACCCAGAGTTACACCTACATCAACTACCTGAATAGAGTTCCGGCAGGACCCGAAAAGGCTGTGGATGGTTCCATGAATAGTTGCGCTCTAACCGGGGAGGAATTTCAGCCATGGTGGAAGGTGGACCTGGCAGGTTACTACGCAGTCAAACGGGTCAGCGTTATGGATGGTCACTTTTTTGCACGGGGTAAGTTGTTTCTGTACGAAATGTTACATGTTCATGTACATGGTCATGGACATAGCCTGGGTACCATTCTCCCTAGGTACTGCCGCCGAATCTCCCTTGTTGCTGGCTACTACCGTCAAGATCCCCTGTCAAGTCTACGAAAACGCGAGTGGCTCAAACACTGTTTTTTCATAGGTAGATGATCGGGCATAGCCCTTTGGGTTGTTGGCCCACTGTGTCCAGAAAATGTGTCCGGCAACGTTATTGGAAGATGTAGCCAACTCCTTCCACCGCCGATTAAATTTAGCTTCCCAACCAAAGTCTGGTTGGAGAGGTAAAGCTAAACAAAAGAAGGAGACAGCGTCTTGCCAAGAATGATTAAATTAAATGGTTTCGTGTCCGCTAGCCTACCCACTCGGCCATTTAACACCACATACGTTTTTCATATCACAACGACGTCATAACAATGACGCATTACACACTTTTTGTTTCTGATTATGTGCTATAGAATGATATAGTTTTGATTTCGCGCGTGTTGACTGATATTTACAGGAAAGTTATTTCTTGATTTCCCCGTAATGGTGCGAGTTGGCCCGAACGAGGACTTCACCCGGAATGACCAGTGCGGACTGAAATACACGTCCACTCTGACGGTGCGGCCGTCAGTTGTGTTGCACTGCGAACGGCCACTGCCGGGGCGCTATGTGTCCGTACAGATAATGGGGCAGACAGGGAGATTGGGACTGTGCGAGGTGGAGGTCTACGTTACAGGTATAATTAGTTCTGACTTTTGATGCCTGTACAGGAAAGAATAACTCAAGAGTAACAGAATCAAATTTGGATTTAATGTGAAATTAACATCAACCGCATAACCAATAATATGGTTTGTTCCGTTACAGCAAACATGGCTTATCTTTATCCATACATCCCAAAACTATTGTCAGTAGTACTGTACTCAAACAGTGACAGCATTTGCAACATTAAACAAAATACTTGCAACAACAATAAAAGACATATATAAATTAGGCGTATCCCGCCACTTCCTGTACTTACTTTTTAAACTGAAACAATGATTGTATTTCTTTATTTTTTTTGTTTATTTACTATCCTTATTTCGTCCGTTAAAGAAGATACTATAGTTTCAAAGCAAAATTTTCAAACTTCTTTAGATATCTGCTGTGACGACACCATAGGGATCGCGAACGGGCAGATCACCGCTAACGACGGCTTCTGCTTCGGGAAGAACATCCAGTTCTCCTGTAACCCTGGGTACGACCTTGTGGGCGACTCCTGGACAACCTGTCAGAAGAACGGGAGTTGGGACCGAGAGGTTCCAACATGTAAACGTGCGTTAGCAACTGCTATTTACGTTTCGAAACTCTTGATAACGCAATACACTGCCTGAAATGTTGGATTTACCAAACATATTAGTAAATGCCATCAAAGTTATAATTAGGTAATGTACTGTTTAGTATCTTACTTGACAATGGTATAAACTTAAGTTCTGGTAATTCCTGACTTAAGGTTTGGACCCAATTGGAAAAAGTGGCCCTGGCGGGTAGATTCCGGGCTATTTTTTGGCACTTTCGGGTCTTTTGGGGCCCGGCGTGGACCAGAGAAGAATTTAATTCTGACTTAAATTCTACCCGGGCCTCGCTGACAAAATGACTCCGTAACCTCACCGTGAGAACACCAACAGGTACCCCTCCGGTTGCCGGCAGTCCACCGGGACAAATTTGTGACGTCATAGACCAGATGCACAGAATGAAGGTGTGTAGTTCGTAAGACCGGGTCAAATGTGTGACGTCACAGATCAAATAATCACAACAAAAGCGTGAACTCGGCATTACGTCGGTCATCTAATTGATGAATTTTTCTATTCTTTTAGATGGCCTTTTGCTAACATAGCAATTTTTTGCATTACCTGTGGCCTTTGTACATCCTTCGAAACCATTGTACCATGGTCATAACAACTTTAATATTACTCTAAAGAAAATAGTATTTATTTCATATTTTAATTTCCAGGAATCTGCTGTGACAATACAATAATGATACCAAACGGCCAGGTCACCAGCAACGACGGCTACTGCTCTGGAAACGCCGTCCATTTCTCTTGTGACGCCGGATATGAACTTGTCGGCAGTTCCTTTACGATCTGCCAAGACGAAGGCTGGGACCGAGAGTTTCCGACTTGTCAACGTGAGTTATCAATACAGATTTTCTTTCTTTCCTCCTCTGCTTCTTTATTATTATTTATTGGGTTCCGTTTTCAGTATGGATGATGATTGTATATCTTTAGAGATCTGTCGGAGATAATAAGATTAACCCTACCTAGACCGGGCTTTTTTTTGACATGGGGGGACCGGGGGGAGGGGGGCTCTTTTGACCCCCCTAAGAGCTCGCGAAAGGTATGTCGTATGACCACCAAATTTTCAGAGAATGGTGTACTAGTGAAAATTTATCATATCTACAATTTTTATGTCGGTATGACGTAATATGACGTCATTATGACGTCATTAATGTGATTTTATTGGCCAAAACCGTCTAAATAGGTTTTTCCCTGAAGACTAAATGGTATTCAACACTACAAACTGTACCAAAAGTGTTTATGACAGAATATTATGGTGTACTAAGTCTTATGTTGCCAATAGCAACACCGGTGACGTCATAAAATGACGTAATGCATATTTAATATATCCGCCATCTTGGATCATCAATCTTGAATTTTCAAAAATAGTTTTTTTCATGATAAAGCCTAAAATACATTGTAAACATACTAAAGACCTTCATTTAAACCTTTTTTGGAAAAAGAAATGGAAGTATTGATGAAATTTTAATGAAAATAACCTGTATATACCTGTTCTAATGATATGGTCCGCCATCTTGGATTTTGGCCAATGACGTCATCAAATTAGCATAAATTATGCATATTTAATGATAAAAATTACATAAAAGTATATGGGATGTTATTAATATTAGAAACCATGAGTAACTTGACATAAAACCCAAAATATTCTATTGTTGAAACAAAAAGTACTAAATTTAGCAAAAATGCCTGTCAGAAACCCGTTGCCATGGCAACACAAAAATTATTATCTTATTCCAATGATAGAGAATTGTTGCCAACAATATTCTAGGAAAAGTCACCAAGTTTGGCCGTTCTACAGCTAGCCGTTCAGACGCTAGGTGACATCAAAGTTGCCGCGGGCACTTTTAGCCCCCCCCCCCCCGGTCTAGGTAGGGTTAGACAGAAAAATTATAATGACCTCCAATGCATATACGTACCCTAAATGGCTAAATGTACTAGATGACGACGCGTAGGGTAAAACACTAACACCATTAAACTAGACAAAAGAAATGGAGAAAAAGAGAAGAGGCTAGGACACGTCATCCCATACCTATGGTACGTTATGGAACATAATAAGGCAATGTTGATTTTTTTTTACTATATGGATGACATCCTCAGGGAACCCAAAAACCGATGCGTGTAAATAAAAAAAAAATTGGAAAAAAGTTGCCTTTATTATGAAATCTAGGTGGTCATGGAGGTTAAACAATTAACACACAGAGTAATATTTTATTGGCATGGTGAGTAATAGAGTACTTATGGCATTATGCGACATAAGTATCGTTTTATGATATTCTTTTGTCAATTTACGGCATATATTTGTTCGTTTTGCAGCTACTTTGTACCATTAACAGTATGGTCATAAACTCTTTTTTTTCAAACGGGCGAAAATTTATGCGCTCCCGGATGTCATCCATAGAATTAAATCAAGTTAGGTCTAAATGTTTTGAGTAAATTCACCTTTTCCAGTAGTGATAGCCTTGATATTTTTGATATTCAGAAGGCTTTCACTTAACTGTCAACTTATCATCAGGATTCTGTCCTGACATTTGGTTTGCTGTGTACTTAAGACGGATTGTTAATACACAATACTAATTGATGAATTTTTTCTTCTTCTTGTAGATGACATTTGCTAACATTTTTACACTACGGACGGTCTTCGTACATCCTTGGAAACCCCTGTACAATGGTCAAAATAACTTTGCTATGACTCTAAAAACGAAGCCAAGCCAGGCCAAGATGACTTTAAAGAAAAAAAAAACAACGTTTATTTCATATTCTAATTTCCAGGAATCTGCTGTGACAATACAATAATAATACCGAACGGCCAGATCACCGGTAACGACGGCTACTGTTTGGGAAACGTCGCCCAGTTCTTTTGTGACACAGGTTATAAACTTGTCGGCAGTTCCTTCGCCATCTGCAAAGACAGAGAATGGGACCGAGAGTTTCCGACTTGTCAACGTGAGTTACCAATACAGATTTTCTTTCTTTCCTCCTCTGTTTCTTTATTACCCTCCATGAAATGGTGGGTTCCGTTTTTAGTATGGATGATGTTTTAGTGTATATCGTATGATCTGTCGGAGATAATATGATTATATTTGGCATACCGGTAGATGCGTGGGTATGTAGGGTAAAGTAAATTCTGTAGGTTGACTTTGGGCCACTGGTGACTTTGTGCTGCACTAGGAAATTATAAACACATCTTTGGCACCGGATTGTTCATGTTATGTGACGTAGCATGTGTAGTTGTTGACATAAGGGATCAGTCGTCGAAATGTGGGCCTTGTTGTGTCCCAAACCGTGCCCGGTTCTGTGCCTGAGCGGGCACAGAACGGGACACAGCCAGACCGTGTCTAGAACATGTGCCCGGCGTGCTGTCAATTATCATGGTTATTCACGCCCCAAGCACCGATCGGGACTACATGTAAGCAAGTGTGTGTCCAGAACTGTGTGAGGCCCAAGACAAGGTTCTGGATAAACACTCTGTTTATCCAAGAACGTATATTTGCTCTAGGCACTGTGCTGGATACGTGTTAGGATTATCTGGATCTGTGACTCATGGTAGATAAGCACAGAGTTGTATCGAGGACTCGCGGCTCTTGGATTGGCTCGATCAAATTTCTTGGATATACCATGTGTTGTATCAAGAACTGTGTAAGACGCGATCATATAATCCTGTGGGGTGGGATAAGCCTTATTTACGTACAATCTAATCGATTCTTTTTATTTTTTTTTGCAGAATAATACGAGACACTCTGTTTGTGACATATCAAAATCGAGCGTGAAATGCACAAAGTACTTTACAGTGCAGGAATCACACTAGCGCGGTCTTCGGTCCTTTCTTCTTGTCCTCATAAATGACCTCGTCCGCTTTACGCCTGCGGACTCGGTCATTTATTCAGTGGATATAGAAACCGACCATGAATTATGACACCGTATGCACCAAAGGAAAGCGGGTCATTAACCCTATATTGTTTGTTTTTTTTTGGTGTTAGCTGCAAACACGTGTCCATAGGCAACACTTTCCATGCGAGGTTTTACATTTTTGTAAATACATGTACATAATCTCAAGGACACGACAATCTAAACAGAAGAACAAAGTCATCTTTGATAAAAGTATCTTTCAATTGCTACATATTATTTGTTTGACAAGGTATCGTGGAAGGTGCAAACCATAATTCACAATCCCAACAAACATACTCGCAAATGATTATACATGACAAACACCTAACATCTGCTTCCAGAACCTTGCCTAGCACACAGCTACTTAAGCTACGGGCTATTGCACGGGATTATAAAACTTGGAGTGTTTCTGAAATATGCATTTACTTCAGTATAAAAACTGCTACGGTGAAAAGAAAATAAAGTACATCACGAAATAATGGCTCACCACATGCCCAATTACATAGAAATACAACGGCAACAACTATGACTTTGAGCTGCGAACACATTTCAAAAACAGCCCCATACGTTAAGAACAGAGAACTCGCAACTGGTCCTAATGACCAACCCACTCCAATGTCTGCCTGGAGGAAACCAGCCCGCCCCGGTATTCAAAACAGCTTCCAATCCGTCTCAGAAATGTAGGGGTGCTTCTGAAATATTACATTGACGGTAAAAATAAAAACGTGTTCATCATCACGGACATGCCTGCAGACGACGTAAAAAATTACATACCGATTCAACAAAGGGAACCCTGTATTTTAGATGCGAATACTAAAAACCGCCTGACTACAATACTCCTGCAGGAGGTATAACTCCTTTACGGAGTAATAAACCAATAAACAGATAGGTGGCCTTTGGCGTCAGGAAAACTTGTCTGAACTTTAGGCCCTCCGGGATTTACCGTGAGAACGGTAACACTTTTAGCTAAAATATGTGTAACTAAAAAAACTTTAACTCGAATGTCAAAATATCAACCTGACTTATCCTGACGTTTGATTCACCGTGTATTCAAGTTAGGTTTTCATGTACGTATACGCAATACTAATTAATTAATGAATTTTCCTCTTCTTTATGCTGAGGTCACATTTCCAAACCGGGGCCCTACCGGGCAGTTAGCAGGAACGAAAAGTATGGTGATGAAGATATTAAACATTTCAAAAAGTTGCAAAATTCACCATGAGCACTATCTATGTATAATCTTGATATGAACTGTTCATTTTTTTCGTTGATGCAAACAGCCCGGCCGGGCCCAAGTTTGAAAATGTGACCTCAGCATAAGATGACGTTTTGCTATTGTAGTATTTTTTTAAATAGCACATAGTCTTCGTACATCCTTGGAAACCCTTGTACCATGGCCATAATAACTTTGATATGACTCATGTTTCATATTTTCGTTTCAAGAAATCTGCTGTAACAATACAATAGTGATATCAAACGGCCAGGTCACCGGTAACGACGGCTACTGCTCTGGAAACGCCGTCCATTTCTCTTGTGACGCCGGATATGAACTTGTCGGCAGTTCCTTTACGATCTGCCAAGACGAAGGTTGGGACCGAGAGTTTCCGACTTGTCAACGTAAGTTATCAAAACAGTTTTTTTTTCCTTTTTTCCTTCCTTTTGCTTATTTTCTGTTATCTGAAAGAAAAGAATACACCACAAAATGCAAGCAGACTACATTTCCTAATGTAAATACAAAGAAAATAAACAAGTATCGATGGTACTTGCCCGGTTTACCCTTATACAAAAAGCTAAAAAAAAATGACAAATCAATTTGACAAAAAGACAAAAAACATGATAATAATTTCAATGAATATGCCTATCCTAAAGGGTAAAATGTACAAGATGACAATGAGTGGGGTAAAACACTAACATCATCAAAGAATTAAAGAAGACACCTTCATTCCATACATGTGGTAAGGAGTGAAACATAAAAAAAAATTAGGCGTCGAATGGTAAAAATGCTATAAAAGGGTACATTTTAGTTGGACGCATGGAAAATATATCTAAATATCATTTAATGCTGCTCATTCCAGCTCTGTATATTTTCAGGTATCTGCTGTGACAATACAACTGAAATCACGAACGGCCTGGTTAATGCTACCGACGGTTACTGCTTTGGGAACGACATATCGTTCTCTTGTAATCCGGGGTACGAGCTGGTCGGCACCCCTTTGACTACCTGCCAAGAAGACGGAAGTTGGAGCCGAGAGATTCCGACTTGCCAACGTGAGTTACCGAAACATGTTCGGATCTCAACGCTTTTAACTGAGTCTAAGAAAATGTATGAAACGGTCTCTACGGCAAACCGGATCTTCGAGACATCGAATACGTTCGTAACATTATAAGAGATCTATCTAGAGCGCCGTAAGAGATATTCGCTATCTAAACAAGTAACTATTGAAGGATTGCAATTAACAGACGAAAGTTGTTCTACCTTTACCTTCCCAAAATATTTCCAGAAGAAAATCAGAATAGCTTTTATCCCACCGTATTCCCATGTTGTCTGCAGAAAAAAAAACATGATATAAGAATCATGATTGAACCATTGTCAAGTCCCCCGTTATAGCATGGTCAGAGTGTTACACATTACCATTCATTCTGGTGCAAAAATAAAAAGCAAACGGAAAATTTGTTATAGCACACGCACAAACAGTACCTGAAGAACAATCGATGGAAGCCACCATCGCCGGTGCAAGTGCCAGTGTCGTCGCAGTGCTAATCGTGGTATCTGCCGTCTTAATGGTTCTTCTAAGACGAAGGAGGAGGAAAAGGAAAGACAGTACAGTGCAAGTCAGCTACTTTCTACCAGATGATGTAATAAGTAAGTGAGGTTTCGCCCTTCTTCAGAAGGTTCTAACTTTCAATTCGTTAACCAGTAAATTTTGATTGTAGCAAAATTTGCATGCATGCAAGAAAAGTGGACTTTTTAAAATATAGAATACTCTTAAAAAATTTAACAGACATGACCATTATTAATCATTACCATAATCACCGTGTTGCCATTTCCACCCATTTGCTGTTCCCTGTTGTTTTTGTAATGTATGTTGTCGCTATATACTTGTATGTCTGGTGGTGAGGTTAAAATTAGCTATAGCTTGAAAAAAAAAACAGATATTACTCCGATATTTCTGTGTATGTACCATGCTTTTGTACAGTCCACAACAGGAGACTGCAAGAGTTAGCGGCGGCCCCGCCCGTTCCTGACCGGCCAGAGTTGCCGGGGTTTGAGGTCGACCCCAGCCGGGTGACGCTCGGACAGAGGATCGGCAGCGGGGCGTTCGGCCTCGCTTACCGGGCAACCCTCACAACTGGTGACGAGACGGAGGATGTCGTCGTAAAAACTTTGAAAGGTTATATATAATTTTGGTTACATATAACACGATACATTAGTCACAAGCGATTTGAATCACTAACATTGGCATAAATCTGGGGTTTTCATAAAGTTTTGAAAACATCACACGCCAAAAAGCAGTTACTCAAGCAACTGGATATATGCTTTTGGAAACGGTTGAAGCGGTCAACCGCTTGAGTAACTGCTTTGTGGTGTATCCTTTTACTTGGATGTTTAACCTTCATCGACGTATTTGCCATTCACTCCATTATAAATTGCATAGCATAATTGCAAGAGCTATCATGACATTAACCTGAGATTGGAGTAAGGTTTTTCCAGGTCAATAGCATACTGACCCAGAAATATGTGAAAGAAATGCATGTAGTTGTTACTGTTCATTTAACCTAGACATGCGAATCAAGCCTGAATGGGGGTAATATCATTTTTTATTATACAACGAAGGTAATAACAATGATACAAAACAATTTCTCCATGGGAGATAATGAGAAATAATACTATAACTACATTGTACAAAATGTATGTGCGGTTTACAAAGGTAGTGGGTGGGCGGGTCAACGTCCGCCGCACGCGGGATCAGGCTGGGAATGCTTTCCTGGCCTGGTCAGGCACGCAGCCTGGTATGCAGTGTGTGGAACGATTAGCAACGCTTAACTACGCTATAACGTTACGCTAAGGGATCGACTCAAAATCTAAATAAACAACCTTTATTTACAACATTATTGCGCGTTAGCAAATCCGGATAGAACCCATTGTTGTTTATTCATTATCACCCCTGCACCCCCATTGTCATACTCCTTATCTGTTCTCACTTCCTTTTGGCCAGGTGAGAACCCCCCCCCCCCCAATTACTAAGCGATGATCGTGTGAAAATAAATACTTTTTAGCACCCTTGATTGGAGCTGCTGTTTGAGATTTGGCAAATTTTTGCCCAAAACAGAAGTGTCCAGTATAAAGGTGGGATGGAACTAGTTAGTTAAGACCAATTAATTACACATTTAGCTCTGTTTGGTATGAGTTTGTAGATGTGACTAGAAGATTAGAATGTGGTACAAATATGAAGTTGTAGTTGAAAGGGAGTATATAATATCAATAACATGATTGTGGTTGTTTCAATTGGCCCCAGTCCTGTATCATACATAACAAACTGACCTCCTCCCTTGCCGATCCTATGGACTTTCCTTACGTTAATTGGACATAACTTGTTATAGGGATAAAATTTCCTGACAAATCGTTGATAGATAGATAGATAGATAGATAGATTTTCTGCATTAAAATATTTGGGACCAAATTTTCTCCAGTAGCTTATACATTTCTACCTTACACATTATCACGGCATTTTGAATGTTCCGTAGACGCCGCCAGCGAAGAAGATCGGCTGAGTTTCCTGCAGGAGATCCGTGCAGTGGTGGCGCTAGGAGTTCAGGACAACGTGCTGAGTCTGGTCGGCTGCTGTACGGTGGTGCGAGACCATCTGTATCTCATCACGGAGTTCATGCCGTATGGAGACCTGAAGAACTTCTTACGGAAATGCCGACAGGTGATGCATCTTGTTGTCGTATTCTTTAAGATAGTAAGTATTACTAAGTAAATGTGTTTAGTCCTTTTTTCGAATGATCATTTGACTTTCTACAAAGTTATCTTTTCCCATTTTATCTACAATACATTTGCAAATACCAACATGAATCAACTTGAAGACTAAATTGCGTTTCCACAGGAAGAGATCTATGACGAACCTCGGGGCGACATCTACAACTTTGAGGTGAAACAGATGTACCAGGTGGCCCGGCAGATCGCTAGAGGCATGGTGAGTACAAGTAACAAGAGCTGAAAGATGCTGTAAATGTACAAGTGCTGCAGATACTGTATACCAGGTGCCGCAGATGAACCAGGTGCTGCAAATGTATCAGGTGCTGCGAGTGTACCGGGTGCTTCAGGTATACCAGGTGCTGCAGATGTACCAGGAGCTGCAGATGTACCAGCTGTTGCAGATGTGCTGGGTGCTGCAGATGCACCAGGTAGCAGAGTGCTATGGGCAAAGCATGACTTCTATGCATTTATTTTTACTCTTTTGACATGATGATATCAAGTACGCTCCCCTTCGCCAAGTTATAACCGGCCAGTTGGATGAACTTCAGACTAGAATCACTAGATTGATATAATTTTTCAGGATCACATCTCCCGGTCCCGTTACATCCACGGTGATCTGGCCGCCCGGAACGTGCTGGTCGGTGAGGAGCTGAAGGTGAAGATCTCCGACTTTGGGCTGGCAGAAGACATCTACACCCGAGGTTACCGTCGGCAGGACCGGCTTCAGAGGGTGCCCTGGAAGTGGATGGCGCCGGAGCGGCTGGAGGATGGGAAAGCGTACACCTCACAGAGCGATGTGTGAGTAGTCTTATCGTAATGTTTCCAGTGTAACTGTGATACTCAAACTATAACTCTAGCCCTTCACCACAGAGAGCGATGTGTGAGTAGTCTTATCGTAATCTTCCAGTGTAACTGTGATACTCAGACTATAACTCTAACCCTACACCTCACAGAGCGATGTGTGAGTAGGCTTATCGTAATGTCTCCAGTGTAACTGTGATACTCAGACTATAACTCTAGCCCTACACCACACAGAGCGATGTGTGAGTAGGCTTATCGTAATCTTCCAGTGTAACTGTGATACTCAGACTATAACTCTAGCCCTACACCTCACAGAGCGATGTGTGAGTAGGCTTATCGTAATAGTTCCAGTGTAACTGTGATACTCAGACTATACCTCTAACCCTACACCACACAGAGCGATGTGTGAGTAGTCTTATCGCAGTATTTCCAGTGTAACTGTGAAATCCAAACTATAACTCTAACGCTATTTCACACAGAGCGATGTCTGAGTAGTCTTATCGTAATATTTCCAGTGTAACTGTGATACTCAGGACTATAATTCTCACCACACAGAACGATGAGAGAGTAACACTTCCATCACACAATCTACCGTGTGTTACTCTCGTGGTCAGATCCTAACACTAGTACTAACACTACAACACGCATATGTGCCTATATCGTTATATGTGCTTCCGAATAGAGTCTGTTATCTTGACTTACTTGACTTTAGTCGGGTGCCAGTCCTCCTCTGCCACCCAAACCACTATGGCTGTCCATTAGCTCCTGTCCTGCATAACCTTCCCCATAATCGGCAAAATCGACTGAGAGGATGAGGTCTACTTCTATTGATAAAACTCTTATAAATCACACTACCGATATTATTTAGATAGTCTGTGCTAACATCATAATAACAATATATCTTATAATTGCAGAGTTCATGAACATTACTCGCAGATTGTACCAGCAGAGACACCGATCCATATCTTTACCGGAAGAAAATTCGATCGGAGTTTCTGTTGACAGGTAGAATCAACCCTTTCATGTCTCCTATAAATTATTGATTCCCGTTTTTATGTCCTGACATTGACCCCCCCCCCCAACAGGTGGTCCTTCGGGATAGTGCTGTACGAGATCAGTACGCTAGGGGGCGACCCTTACCCTGACGTGGCAATAGCCCATCTGAAAGATCGCCTACAGGCTGGATTCAGGATGCCCAAACCGGAGGGCTGCCCTCCTGGCATGTAAGTTTGCTAGATTTTCCACTCGAATCACAGGTGAACAGAGAAGTGTGTATGAAGTTAACAATTTTTATGCCTAATACTGAGAGCTCTACCATGGAAATACGTAACTATATTTTTACGCTATTCAGTTAACCAACAAACACAAGCCTGATGTACTGTAAGCATATATCGTTGTGCGGCAAAAAATGCTCACATGCAGATTTAACTGGAGAATAGTAAAATAGTAATCTATACTTTTTATCAATACTATTGACTTATAAGACAGCTGCAGTTTAAAAAAAATATCGCTAGATGTCACTTTTTCTCCACGCTCCACAGGTACGATCTGATGCTGCAGTGCTGGCGTTGGCAGCCCGCCGAGCGGCCGTCCTTCCGCAACCTGGAGCTCGACCTGGACAGTCAGCTGGCCTTCTACGGACCCGAGTACGCTAGAACAGCTCCTGCCACTGGAACGGCACCCAAACCTATAGCATAATTATTCCGTGAAGGAGGTATCGCTCCTGCAGGAGTATTGTGGTCAGTCGGTTTTTCACGTTCGCAGCTAAAAGGGTTACCTTTGTATAATCGGCATGTTAAATTTATAAATCGTCTGCAGGCTTGCCCGTGATGATGCACGCGATTTATTTTAGTCAGGCTAGATCTTGTGTATTTGACTAGGAATTTAGCCATTTTACGATACATTGTTTAACCCTAAACAGTACACCTGGGGTCCGCGCGGACCCCAGCACTATATATTCTGTAATATCTTTTTTGTTTCTAAAGATTTTTTTCTGAAATTTTAGGTAATTGTCACCATCAAAGTTGTCCCTCAATACAGTGCACAAAACTCCGTTTCTACCATTTATGAAAAAATTATATCTGATTTTCTTTTGGGGTCCGCGCGGACCCCAGCCGGCTTTCGATCATAATGGATACACTGGCGTTCTTATACATTACCTTATTTCCGTTTTTATATGTTTATATGCGCTCATCGTATGTCTACCAAGTTTTCAGAGAATGGTGTAGTAATAGAATTAAATCTTAATAACTTTGGTGTAATTATGACGTCATATGACGTCAGAGCTAATAATATAGTCCGCCATATTGGATTTTGACCAATGACATCATCAAATTAGCATATTCTATGCATATTAAATGATTTAACTTATATTTGATTATGTAAGCTGTTATTAATGTTGGAAAAGAAGTGTAATTTAATATAAAACTCAGAAAATTTTTATGTTTAAACCAAAATTACCTCTATTTAAAAAAACTGCCTGCTAGAAACCCGTTGCCATGGCAACACAAAAAAACATCAAGTTACTAGTATTCAACTAATATGAACTTTTTTCCAGAGACATTTCAGGAAAGGTCTCCAAATTTGATACTTTTAGCGCAAGCCGTTTAGCCGCTATCTGAGATCAAAGTTGGGCCTCAAAAGCCCCTTCAGTCTGAAATGGGTTTAAAAATCGGGTATTTCTTCTTGTCTTCTTTTCTTCACCAAAAAATAGAAAAAGCTCAAAATGTATGATTTTTGTATGTAATGTGGACACAGAGGTTCCCACATCAGTTTGCAAAACAATTGAGCTGGTAGCATGTTGATAATTTCTAAAGATTAGCAAAAAACTGTTCTGGGGTCCGCGCGGACCCCAGGTGTACAGATTAATCAGTCCGGGAAGGTGTACTGTTGAGGGTTAAGTGATCACAAACTGTTTACATACACTATGCTGTTCCCATTCTGCAAAATATAAAACTTAGCGGAGAATTGTCGCCTATGGACACTTGTTTACTTTGTCGACTAGATGTTTCAAGCAAGTCGAGATAGCTGGTATTTTATGCTTTACAAGAAATCACAAAATGGTTTATACATTAGATGACAAGAAATATATGAGCTTATAATTAGATTATGATAAAGCTGATAAAAGCAAAACGGCATATGTATGGTATACTGGTATGATAGTAGAAAATATTATAATCAAATATGATACAAGCATTTAATAATTTCGTATAACCAAAAATCCATGTCTAAATGGATTTTACTATATAAACGTAGTCATTATTTTTTAATGCTTTGGCGTCAGTGTTCCACATATTCTAGTTAGCATAACTGAACAAGTTAAAGACGACTTGTGAAGATATATGCTTAGGTCGATGAAGGTTAGACATCCAGGTAACAATGATATGCCAAAAAACAGTTACTCAAGCAACTGGATATGATTTTGAAAACGTCAGACGTTTCAGCTAGTATCCACTAGCTTTCGTCAGTGACTGAGAGACCAGAGGGGAAAGCAGGTTTATATACACAACCTGTTGATTGATATGCAAATAAAGTGAAGACAATTTTTTTTTGTTTATATGCTTATATATGCTTAGATTAACACGTGTGGGCTCTTAATTATCGGCTATATACATGTATGCATCAATGAAGTCGATATAGGTAGTATATACTGTAGGTGTTACAAGAACTGGTTTATACATTATACTTATCTGTATCTGTATCGGTATAGCCGGTATATATAACCGCCCTTCGGCGTAACACACCAGCTATTAGATGGTAATAAAGTATGAGACTTGTACATGAATTGCCACAGAATATCCGTTGTGCCACAGACAAGTTATGGATGACTTTGCACACTGTAATAAACTATGAACAATGTTCTACGTAGTCAACAAAACGTTATTTAACAGTAGGAAGTGTCATAGTCGAACTCCCATAAAAGCATTTAATCATGTACCATTACCAAAGCTGCATGTATCATAACCAAGTCTCCGTGAGTTATCATTAATGGTGTGCATTTGAGTCTATTTGTTCACATATATCTAGTCAGCGTAACTGAACAATAGAATCACTATAGCTATAGCTACATATATATATATTCAAATTGTGACAATATGTGCTTACTTTTTAAAAGCTCAATCGTGGGCCTCTCGGCGGCTTACCTTGGTACTGCTGTCGAACTTTCAGGTCTTGTATCTTCTCTTATGTTCCTTCCAGGGTCTAGATTTTTTGTTAACAGCTCTAAAGGTGTCTAACAAATATTACGGGCTTGTATTGATACATGTAATACTACAAAACAAGGGATAGGAATCAACTACAAAATCCCTGGAACTGTGGAGGGGATACACACTGTAACGCTGTAAAGTACTGTTTTAAGGTCTTAGTAAGTTGATATGCACAATTATTTTTCTGCATGTGTAATAAGTGTATTGATAAAATTCCTATGAATAATTTTGATCTAGGTATATGGTTCCAGTTGACAATTTTGTAACTGTAACTCCATAAGATAGTTAGTTTTAGACTGATAGTAAGTCTAATTTTATATTTCTTTATTAACCTTTATATCTTTTTTTTTGCAAATAGCCTTCAGCTATAAGCTTGCTATAATGTTCACAACAGACTTATTTTTTTTAGATAATTTTAATTCCCTTTGTCAAGCTGGTATGTGTATGTGTAGATATACACTGTGCAGTCATGATTAGTGTTAACCAATGAAGGGAGTTGATATGCAATTATTATTTTTTCAGCATTTGTAACAAGTATATCAATTTGTTTTAGGAATAATTAGAATCGGAATAATTGCACACTGTTGATGAGGTTATGATTTGAATAAAAAAACTTATAAGAATTGTCTGTTGCAGTGTTGTACATATTATATAGCAAAACGTTATAGTCTGATACAATCCATGTTTCCCTGCTTCATACACCTAAGCAGTACTGACAAATTTACATTTCTAACAAACACTAGGACGACGCTCTCTCTGCGACTTGAAGTTGGCTGGAAATCGCGGAGAGAGTACCGAGAGATCGCCGAGGTCACCATGTTTGGAATATTACTTACAGTATAGACCGTTGTGCGCTCTCATGCATGGCGCTCTGTGTGCTCTTATGGCGCTCATTTTTTTTATTGAAACATATAATGACAAGATATGGTGGCGACACACTCAAGATACACTTATATTCATGTCGCCACCAGACAATACATAATACATACAACAAGCAAAGCACAGATAACATATTGAAATTGAATACTATGATGAATCAATGGACAGGTGAAACAGATATATAAAAATGCTAACGGATTGGTCAATAAACTATGTTACAAAAAATGGCGCTCATTGTTGGATCGCCGTCCTCGGCGCTCTCACGGCAACGGTTCAAAACAGTCGCCAAGGGGACGGCGCTCATGGCGCTCTCATCGCGCTCCCATGGTGACCTCTAGGCGCTCTTTCCGCTCTTAGGCTAATTTCAGGTCATAGAGAGAGCGCTGTGATAGCGAAGCCATAGTAGAATGGGAGCCTTGCACGACTTTCCTCACTTCACTCATGCACGCAGGTGAAAATTAGTTAGGTTTCAGTAAGAAACGTCTATCGGTTTTGAGGTTCCGTGTTTGGGAAAGCCACACGCAGAACCCACCACACATTTTGAAAAAGAGTAGGGGCATGCCCCGGTGTGCGATGGCCCAAATTCTACAGACCACATTTAACTACAAATCACCAGTGTAGCAGATTAATCCTCATCAGGTTAATAATGTTGTCCACCTAAACCTTATACAGACGACGTCAAGGAGGACATTACCTAGGTCCTCTGAACATGTTAACAATTCAGGTTTTGAAGACAAGCGAGGAACCAATGTGTCTTGTGGATTGGGGCGTCTCCTTTCGCTTGTACATACAGTTTATAAAGGCCACATGGATGATAAGGCGTCATAAATAAGTCACCTATGTACACGCAGAAGCCCCTACGTGCCATGAGTGAAAGGGCTGCCAAAGCGGGATGTTTACTTAACCAAGGACCCTGTGTGCGTTTATGACGTGTTTTTTTCTGTAGTTAGCCAGCACGGAGCTGTTAGCTATCCCAGGTCAACAATATGGCTGCACACCGCCTGTTCCGTGTAGCGTTTTTGCAGGTTTTCTTGGCCGTGTGGATCCTGGGTAAGTCTTTGAAACAAAATGTTTGATTCTACATTGTACATATAGAAGCTGTGGGCACAAATATTGGAGAGGGTTGCCACTTGAAGTGTTTCTCAAGTGGCATATATCGCCAGCCCAATATAATCAGTTTGGAAACTTTTGGGACGTTTTTTTCCCCGAGGTCAGAATGACATTACATGCTGTCGTTGCTGTCAGTTTGCTGGCATGTTGGGACAGTAACGCATTCAGTAGACAGTACCAACATTTGCACTCAGTAGCACAGTAATGTTCGCAGAGGTTCAAAGTCCAAAACAAACATGACGTTTTCACTATAATGGCTCTCTTTTTGGGTTACGACAATCTTATCTTGACGATTTTGAAAAGTGCGATACATGTATATGAAACTACCTGCGTGAGAGGGGATTTGTAAATATTGCTCCTTAAATGCAGCGGAAGGCGAAAACAATTCACCTCTTATTGTTCATTGGCAGTTGGCAGACACGTAGGTACAAAAGAAATGACCTACGTACAAGACTATGGATGAATCAACATGCTGACTTTAGCGTGTCACTTATAATATTAGTATACCTGGCCTAAGGCCTAAACATTCTTTGATATATTTCCCTATTTGGACACAGTAGGATAAAGTTAAATTATAAGAAGTTAGATATCTATAGCATGAAATGTAACGAATTCCGTTAAACGCAAAAGTGTCCTATGGAAAGCGGTGCCTTCCTTATTTAGGATGAGGTCACATTTCCAAACCACGGCCCGGCCGGGCAGTCTTATGAAACGAAAAGTATAAACAACAAAGCACAAAAGGTTTGGGGGAGGGGGGCGCAAAGAAGGTTGAATAACTTTGCGTTTATCACCATACAGTTGACAATCCATAATAAAATGCCGATCTCATTAGGATATAATGGACAGATCCTCTGGTCTCGATGTTTTGTTTTTCATCTTCCCATTTCTACATTCAATTTATTACTGCAAATTCTCATCTACATATATCAGACCTGTTCCTTGGATGTGAAGGAACATCGCTAGGTGGCGCATGGAAGCAGAAGGATGGAACTGAACAGGTACTTACATGTAACATCAACAGATCCTTTTTGTTTAATAGTTGATTTTTGTAAAGGTACACCATTTGTCCACTCAATATAAGCCAACAATATTGCAGCCTGCAACACAAACACAAAATACATTTTCCCTTACTGATCTTGTTAAAATCTCGAGCACATTATGTTATAAGGAATTCATTTTTTTTATAATTAGTACTATGGGTTATGGTTGCCCATGCTTTAGTCTATAACACCTGTGTGGTGCTACAGACGCAGAGTTGGTTAGAGGAAGCAACAGTTACACCTCTTCAAATTTTAAAACTTGAAGTAGACGATGAAATTTTGACACAGCCTTTTCCTCAGGGAAACGCCGAGCTGGTCGACTATGACGTCAGAATCAAACGACAGGCACCTTCTAACGTCACAGGTAAGGACATGGGTTTCTATCAGCGCATGCGTGTAGGGTGCCCACTGAGGGTGAGACATAGTACCGGGTACAAAACATTGAAACTTTATTATTTTTAATTTAGTGCCTTTTTGTCAGTTTTGGCGCGGGGTAGGAATTAGAAGGATTAGGAGACCACTGGGGAAAGTTCTCTTTGAACATAATTCACCATTTATCCTATATTAAATAAACGGTATAGCCGTATGCAATAAAACAAGTGATAGGCAAAGTAAAAGGTGGTTTACCTTATCAAGGTAAGTTTTTATGGAATTTTAATCCCAGGGGTGAGATTTTTGGCACCTTTTCTTGTGGTTACTTGCATACATTTCTGAAGCAGAGCGTATTAGAAGGGCATTTTCCAACGTCCCAATACTAATGTCAGATATTCCTTATAACTTTGTTTTCATATAGTAATAATTCAAGATGACTTTTGTTATCTTGACAAATGCAATTCTATTCAATATAGGAATAGTGACTTGCTATATCGTCCCAACAGTGGCGTAAGGGATTCCTTATATTACGTACTACGTTGCCTTTCTAGGCAACGTAGGTAATTTCTAGACTTGTTTACTTGTTTATACTTGTACATGTATAAAAGAAAATACGACGAGTGATGTCATTAAACTATTCCAGTGATGAACCCCACCGCCGTTCCAGAACCCGGTACCGGTGTCACCACAGACACTCCCGACATGACTTTACTGGACTACATCATGGAACAGGGTAAGGTCGCACAACAAAGTACATGTAGCTCGGGTGCACGTACGTAGTGCGACTGCAGAGATCCGTACAGGGCAGCGAGGTGAAAACTGTGCTGAATTGTAGAGGAAATCAGGGTTGAGACCGTATAATTTGAATCAGGATGTTTGTTCGGCCAGGGTCGATTGGCGCCTGGATCCTACGGTCCCATGACCCTCGCAATGCGCCATTTAAAAGAGGGTTTTACAGGAAAACGAGTCAGCGAACTTGAAGTGATTTTCACAAATTTTGTAGGTTAAAATTGGAACGTAAGCATGTAATTTTTGTAGCTTGCTTGTGTACCCTACTATATACTTTATAGCATCGAACCTTCTTACTTTGGGCTCCTTTATATTAACTATTTTTCTATTCCTAGGATGCATTGCGATTGGGAGTAAAAGATTCCCAGGTTGCATAGCGCTTGATCGGAATTGCATGTGATCTGAATAATGGGTTATTACATTCGTTGATGACAGAAAGTAAAACAATGAAGGTTGCTCCCTTGATGACAACATCTATTGAATTATTTCGAGCAATATAGTTGTATCTCCTTTTTTTGACAGACAGTATAGTGTTACAACTGTAACGTTGCAAACCATGTCCCATGTTATATAATATAATGAGTCAATTGATGTTGAGAATAAAATGTCCCCTTAACAACTCAAAGCACACAGAAAAACAAGCTGTTTAACGTCAACAGGACACCTTCCTGCACTTTGAATCATGGAAGATTTTACCCCCTGTCGCAATGCATCATGGGAATGGGAAAACGGTTAATAGAAATCTACCAAAAGGGTAAAAACTGTGTTCTGCTGCCTTCAGGTACCGTGTGGCCCTTCTGGGTGGTGTTTGGCGCCACGGGAGGAGTGGTCGTCATTTTCCTGGCCGTGTTCATCTGCCGTGTGGCGACCAGGAAGGAAGAGACAGCCGAGGAGAGGATGAAGAGAATTCAGATGCAGAAGCAGCTAGACAGTAATTCATATATTTGAGAGGAGCAGCTTCAATATCTTCTCCTTTAATATACTTAAAAACATAAATAAGTTCACTATGAACAAGGCGACCATTGAATGTTAATCTAATTCATGATCTATGTATTATTAAGATGTCGTAATCATTATCCCTGACATAAAGTTAACAATTATCGAATTGTGGACTAAATGCAGCTGTAGGATGGTGGTGATTACAAGATAAATCCATGGGTGATCATAAAAAGAGCATGGGGTATCTAAATATGACAAAGCATCTTTTGCTTAAGTTTGATAAATGGTGCATTTTCGTCATCGCATTGATAGTAAACTTCGACTTTTACCTATCATGATAAAAAATTGAGTTTTCTAAGGACATCCGTACACAACGTTTTATCTTCAAGCTATCGTAATTGATCTATTAATTGATAGTGACGGTTTTAGTCATTTTAGTCATTAGTCAGAGTCTAATTCAGGTGCTGTGCGAGGGTAACCTTGAACTTATGTAAAATTTGCAGTAAATGAACAATTCGTTAGATGGCGCTTCTTAAACTTTAACATGTTTTCAAGTGGTCGTTTTCATGTGCACATTTTCTTTTTTTTTAGTCACAACATAAGTGGTAAATGTCATGTTTTCTGTAAGTCTTGAGTTGTGATCATAAAATATCAACGTGTCCTGATATTTATGGCAGTTTTTGTGGTTTCTTCCACGCGCAGGATAACTTCTGGAATAAGGAATGTATGCCGTACAATGTAGTAGGGGCATTATCAGTAAATAGCTTTGAATAATGTTTAGAGTTAGATGTTTAAAGGTTGCCGCCGCGCCGCGTGCCTGAGTGTGTGTTAGCGCCGAAGGCTAGTTATATTGGCTATACAGATACAGATACAGAACACAAACGCAGAACTGAAGAAATTTTTGATTTATTACCACACCCATGTTTCAACCATTCATACATGTCCCTTTATTTCCAGTCTGAGCTGATAACACACTATCAAAAACAGTTCCTTCTGAGCTATTGTGACAACCGCTTAAATAGCAGTTACGAAGGATACGACGTTGATCTGCTTTTTAAAACACAGCTCTAGTTCTTTACATGCCACAGATTCTTACATAGCTCCATCAAACATTTATATAACCAAACCATTGCCAATCTGCTGACATCATCATCACCATCATCATCATCATCATCATCATGCTGACATCATTATTGTGCAATGGAAACTATTTTACATAGGAAAGGACTAAAATCTTTTCATCTTGAACTGTATTCACATACAGGTGCCTCATATGTGTACTTGGCATGTTATATTGGCGCACAGTGTCTACTTCTTTGACAGAACTGACATTCGTAAGACTTGTCCCAGTTGTTGTCTCCGAAAGTTCAGTTTAAGTAAACTTGATATGATTCTGTGTCATCAGCAGGACATTGTGTGCCTATACCTGTATCGTAATAAGTAACAATAATTATAATAAAAGTAATAAAAGCAATTACATATATCGTATATATCGTATATATCAGGGAAAGTTCATATTCCCCCAAGTGGACGCCTATCATTGTACAACGAAGAGAAGTCAAAACTACGTCGCGGTAGCGAAGGAGAATAAAATTTACTTCCCCACCATATGTTTTTTTAAGCTTCTTGGGTTATTTGGGCGACATCATATCGTAACTCTAAAACTATCTCACCATCGTGCAACCGTACCGAAGTCGTCGGTTGGAACCTGAAACTCCTTGGTTGGAAGAAATAATTTTGACAAAAATCACAAAAGCTTTGCTTTGTGTCGGCACGCGCGAGTAACTGAAACATAGCATCGACAGTGATCGACCAAAACGGTTGCTAGAGATAGAACGCTGAACATTGCCTTGAATGTGTTATTTGGGATTCGAAATGCAGGTAGGTGTATAACCTCCTTCGCCACACGAATTAAAGAAAAAAAAAACATGGGGTTATAGGTTTATAGACTGTGAAACAAAATGGCGTCGGTTTGTAAACAAAGGACAAAGGAGAGAACCGATCTAATCCAGATTGTTGTGAAACAACTCTCGCTTCAGCCGACTTTCTTCTACAAGATTTACTATTATACTTGTACTATTTCTAAAATCTTCTTAGTACGGTTATGTTTTTTTATCGTTGACTCCAGAATGATTACAATGTATTCCCAGCGTAATGGCAGAAGCATTCGGCACGCCGGCCAAACAATCATGGCGTCTGTGCTGTTTCCGCGCCGTAAACCTCGTTTAGTAACAGGTACAACAAGAATACGTGTATTAGAATGTATCTGAATCCTACGTAGTGAGTGTTTGGTAGATGTTCTTGAATAATCACTTGAGTTTGGAATTTTTATAGAAATATTCTAGGTTTTTTTGTCACGCGGCCGATACTAGCGCGTTCCGTGCTGTCTGAAGTATGCAGTAGCGCGATCAAGGCCGATTGGAGCCGGGGAACTTGAATCCCTGTGGAAGTTTTTAGTGTGTTGAATTACGAAATAAGACAAATTGTAGCACAGTTGCGAATTATTGTTGGTGGCATAAGGAAATTAAACATGGCTTGAATGAGTGTTGGGGCATTGTTAATTGTGTGAGTTAAAGAACAATAGGGGCGGGGAAAGGCGCGCATATGAAAGGACAAGATCGCGGGGAAAAAACAGCGACTCGAAGTGTCACCAAAACATGTCAAGACCCCGCCCGCTAAAGCGTGAACCAATCAGCATTGTTGCCAATAGTGAAATGACTGATTGACACCGATTTCTCATTAATATTAATGACTTCCAAGTGAGGATTTTTGATGGCCTTTTTGACCATCGTGATAGGCCAAAAACTGTGTTCTGCCACCTTACCGGACTTACCGGATGTCGGTGATGTGCCCCCCTCCCCATGGACACCTTAAAATTTTCACGTATCATGATTTGAAGCATTTACTGCGGTACCGCGATACAGCGAGTGAAGTAGGTACACAATGGTCTTACCTATCTTTTAAAATTGCCTAGAGTAGGTTTAGAGTCGATGTAAGTTGAAAATCGCCTCAAATTTGAGACAAAGGTACCCTCGCACTGCTCAAAATGGCGGACAAGCGTAATCACAGATCAATCACAGGTCAATCGAGGGGTAAAGGTTAAAGTTAACAGACCTGATTACCCAGATCCAG